TTGGCTTTGACTTTCTACTTTAACAATGTAATTTTCAAAAATTACATTTTAGTCACTAAATTTCTACTGTTCGGCCAAAACTGAAAAATTGACTTCAATTCCACTGATTCATACTAAATTTCACTAATCTAAAATATGGAAATAATATTTCCAACACTTATCTAGCATTCTTCAAATTTTTGTGAAATTCTGGTTCGATCCGATTATCCGATTTCTATATCGGACTTTATCGCTTCATAACTTTTAATACAAATCCCATATCGAAAATCTAATTATCACAAAAATTCTTGTTTAAGGCCAAAATGTTCAATTATGGGATAAAATATATAATTTTTCAAAATTATGTTTTTGGTCCATATACTTTAACAAACTTTATAATTTAGCTACCAAACTTTCAAAACTTATATTTTAGTCACTAACCAAATTTTAGTGTATTACAATAATATTTTTTTAACTATTGACAATGTACATACACTAAAAACATAACTATTCGAACTCATGATCTCAAAGAAAAATAACACATCCCTTGACCGCTAAAATTATTAAATGAGTTTGTGTGTTTTTCTCTTCCAACATAATTCTAGAACTAGTAATCTTATGAATAATAAAATTAAAATATGTTAGTTGGTTCACATGATGCTTTGAATGACATGTACTTTTAAATGAATGATATTGCAAGTTGAATACCTATTTATTTTATTACTAATCACGTTTTAAAAATTTTGTTCTTTGATTAAGTTAAGATAACTATAAAATAGTATTTTTTTAAGTATTTTCAATTATTTGATAATAAACGTTCAATCACCTTTACTGTAATCATTGGTGTTCGAATTCGAGACCTCTAAAAATAATAATCATTTCTTTAACCACTCATGTCTTAAAATTTTAAAATTAAATTAAGAAAACTTAACATTATAGATCAGTAAAAAAAAGATATATTCTCTTTGGTGCATATAATGTTAATGTGTCCCCTTGCAAACTTGTATAGGAACAAATATTTATATAACATGTTAATTTGACCAAGCTTCGGATGCCGAATTGGTCAGCCTAATCTAGGGACAGTAGCTACTTGGGTCACATTCAACAAATCCAACTTGTTATCGTTACCATTACATTAAACTGAAAATATTAACAATTTGTTTAATTTGAATGAGAACTGTTTTATTTAAATGTAAAATATAAATGAATCTGATTAAAAATATTAGTTATGCAATAAATTGGTTTTATTTATATTTGATTATAAAAATGTAAAGAAACATTAAATATATGCACACGAAATCTTTTAACCCAACCAAAATTTGAATACTATTTATTGTTAAATTATTTTATTTAACTTTTCTTTGGTAACAATGTTGTATTTATCTTTAAATCTTAAACAATTATTACATGCATTTCAGTTGTTTAAGTAATTCCATACTCTTTAGTTGCCCCAGAAGTTCAATATCAAAGAACTTTTATTAGCCACCGAGAATTTCAAGACCCAAATCGGAGCAGGTGGCTTCGGTGCTGTATACAAAGGGACACTCCCTGATAAAACTGTTGTGGCGGTGAAGAAGATAACGAATCCAATCAATCAAGGGAAAAAGGAGTTCTGCACTGAAATTGCAGTAATAGGAAACATTCACCATGTCAATTTGGTTAAACTGAGGATTTTGTGCCCACGGGAGACAAAGGTTTTTGGTGTATGAGTATATGGACCGAGGCTCATTGGATCGACCCCTCTTCGGAAATGGTCCGGCCTTGGAATGGCAAGAAAGGTTCGATATAGCACTCGGGACTGCTCGTGGGCTCGCCTACTTGCACGGCGGTTGCGAGCATAAGATCATTCATTGCGATGTTAAACCCGAAAACATTCTTTTGCATGATCATTTTCAGGCGAAGATCGGGCTCTCAAAGCTTCTTACACCGGAACAATCCAGTCTCTTCACAACAATGAGAGGCACTCGAGGCTATCTTGCACCCGAATGGCTTACAAACTCTGCCATTTCCGAGAAAACCGACGTTTATAACTTCGGGATGGTACTGCTTGAACTGGTGAGTGGTGAGTGGTGAGCGGTAGGAAAGACTGCTCCTTGAGATCAAACAGCATACAAGCAATGAAATCAACAGCAGTGGAGCCAACAACTCCTTATCGTCATCGGTAATGGGATTGGTTTATTTTCCGCTGTTTGCACTGGAGATGCATGAACAAGGTAGATACTTGGAGGTTGGAGCTCGCAGATCCAGGCTCGAGGGGAGAGTGAGCAATAAAGAAGTGGAGAAATTAGTGCGGATTGCTTTGTGTTGCATTCATGAAGAGCCCGCACTCCGGCCGAGTATGGCCACCGTCGTAGGGATGTTGGAAGGTGGACTTCCTTTAACTCAGGCTCAGCCGAGAGTTGAATCGTTGATATTTTTTAGGTTTTACGGCCGCAGATTTACAGAGGCTTCCATGGTGGACGACGAAAATAGGCAAAGTGATGATCAGTTGATGTTATATCAACAACAAAATAGCATTGTTACAACTGCTTCAGATACTTACTTTTCTTTAATGTCTTCACAGAAATCTCAGGCCCCAGATAATGTGTAAATGGTTTTCAAACTTTAATTACTGTTGTATAAACAATACTGTGTATGTTCGAAAAAGAAAAGAAAATCATGGGGTAGGTGTAGGGGGGCTGGTTCTATTTGATTCGGCTTTTTGTAAAAATATTTGCTTGAGAAGTTATTAGGAAATTATTTTAATATATTTCAAATTAAATATTATTTTAAATAAAAATTTCGGTCAGTTTATGAATTCTGTTGAGACATGTTCAAGATTATTTATTAAATTAAAATTAGACCCATAATTTAGGACATTTCATCTAAATTAGTCTTTTTGTAAATAAAACTGTTTTGCACGTGGCGATCATGAATGATTTTCCATAGGTATTCGAATCATAACTGAACACGTATACATTAAAACGACCACCAGCCAATCAAAATTAAGTCTTTCTACGGAACGGTAAAAGACAATAAAACTTTAAAATACTCCGATCAGAGCACTGTATTTATCTTCATAATTTTCTTGTTTCTGTTTTCATAACTCTGTCCCTCATCGAATTATAAATATAACTTTAATAATATCTACATTTTTATTTTCATACACTTTTAATACCTTATGATTTTATAATATAATTGATCACTTAATTTATGTCATATTTATGAAAACAATATACATTATAAATATGTGTCCATAATTATGGATTTAATTTATGAAGTGATGTGTTGGCAATCTTTTAAACTTCTATGACATCTTTTAGAATGTTCAAGAGAACCTTAAGAGTTAATAATGAAAATTAAACATGTGTAGAATGGAGATGGATAACAGAGACAACAAAATCCATTACAACAATACTAAATTGGTGATTTGGAAGCATATAAAACAATGCTTAATTATTAAGAGAGAATGAACTACAACATTTGGTAATTGGAGGCGGTAGATACATGGAAAGCAACTAAAGTTTCATGCAATTAAGCAAATCAAAAGAATAGCAACAATTGGCAGCAACTTAAATTACAAATTAATGGTAGCATACGACAAGCAAATTGAGGCGGTAATGCATGAAATTACCAGCAAAGATTGACGGCGTCATCAAACTAACCGAAGTCAACTTTTTAATGATCGCATCTTAATTAAAACAAAATGAAAGTAACCACGAATTATATTTTTGAATCGAGTGACCATATATTTATAAAACGAAAATAAAAAGTGATCAACTCTGTAGTTTACCCTTGATTCCAATCTTCTAGATTCTTTAACATACAATATTTGATCTAAATTAGTTAACTAACCTCAAAGCCGTAACATTAAGGATCTCTCCGAGCTAAAACCACACGAAGACATTCTAAAAAAACAATACCTTAACGAGATTCAGACCGAATAACCGTGAGATGAGATGTATACCATACCATACATAGCATGAAACAAGAATGTGAACAACCAGAGAAACCGAGCTTGGTTGTAATTGCAAGAACAAGACCCGGTAACATACTAATCCATTACGATTATTAATCAATAAATAACTTTTAGCTACTATGAACGTCGGGTTTATAAGACAGTCAACTCCACTAAAATGCATGCCTCAAACACTCCACGTCCAAGTTTCAAGGCAAAAATATTGGTAACCAACCATTAACCATCTTATGATACAGAAGAGTTACAGTTTGGATGTAAACCATTGTTGGTTTTTCTGATGAAAGGATGGAAATCAACAGATAAGAAACGATATTAGCAGGCCGGAAATTAAAGATAAGCAGAACCTTTGAGATTAACACGATATGCTGATCAGAATCTTGTAAAGAAGTGACCGTGTATCTAATCTTAGCCAATCAAACACCCACCTCTCAAAGCAAGACAAGGACTTTAAGGTCTCATACAGCTAACGAGCAAGTGGAGACCCCCGAAGTCTTTCCTCTTTCTTGATCTACTTTTCAAAGACACAGTTATCCATAACAACCAAATAAACAATGTCCACAATATTGTGAATGCTTCAATATTTTATTTTTAAATAGAACACTCCAAGATATAGTTGATTGGAACTAAGTGCAAGACCGGATTATATGTTCCCAAATGTGTATGCTTAAGATATTTTTTTATTAGTATGTGATAATTATAAGGTAGTATATATTTATTATATTTTTAGTCTATTGATAATGCATTATCTTCTGAATTCAGGTTTTTTTTTAAGAAAATAACATTCTTTTTTCGAAGTTCACCCAATAGGTTCAAAGGTGTTCTTAAATGTTCATACTATCCTATGCGAAATCCGAATAAATTTTAGAAATATGAATAATCAAGAAAAATGAATAGATTTTATCAACATACTCCAAAATCATCGAGAGACATCATATTAACTTTTCCAGGCATTGAACAGTAAAAACAATCGGGTAATCAATAACACCAAACATGATAAACAAAAGAAATCTACTTCAAGAAGACATTTTTTTCCTGATTCATGCTGTGTAAATGTGAAGACTAAGAATTAAGGATCGAAAGAACAAGAATCGATAAGAATAAGAGAATAAGCACAATAATAACACATTATACAATGTTACCAGATCACTCGGAATTGGAAAAAAAAAAGTAGGAACTGGAAAAATCAAGAATTTCTGGACTTCCTTTTGTCACAAACCCCTTTGCAACACACCATAAAAGAAATACTCACGAGTATATAGAAACACCGATTTTGTTTTGTGAATCATTTGTTAGGGCAATCCCTCGCAAAATGGCCTTCATCTCCACAATTAAAACACCGTCCCCCTCCTCCTCGACCATCGCCGCCGCCGCCGTATATTCCAGTTCCACCATCATCTCCACGGCCGCCACCGTATCTCGTACTTCCACCACCTTGATAACAATCCCTCGCTAAATGCCCCGTCCTCCCACAATTATAACACGCGCCACTACCTCTGCCACCACCACCATAGCCCCCTCTCCTGTAACCACCACCACTACCCCTACCTCTACCGCCAAAATATCCTCCTCTTCCGCCTCCACGACCACCACGGAGAGGGTGGCGAGATCGGGCCAAAGGAGCTACATCAACTGCCTTTGCTCGTCCGTCTTCGCCGATATCAACGGAGAACTCAACGGGTTGGTTATCTGAGAGGGTACGAAAGCCTTGGGAAAGAATAGAGGTCTGGTGGACGAAAAGGTTGTCGCCTCCGCTGTCGGGAGCTATGAAACCGAAACACTTTTGTGCACTGAACCATTTGACTGTGCCGGTAGATCTCTCGGCAGTGGTGGTCTCAGCCATTGCCTAGGAGAATATTCCAGAAAATGGTTGAAGTAAAGAAGTTCCTCCCCAGGAGCCTTATTTTTCGCTGTTGCGTCTTATGGGTGGTTCGCCAATGGCAATAATATTGATTGATTGCCACGTGTGATTGGAATATAAGCTTCCTAAAATATGCGGATATCGTGACAATAAGGATTGGAAGCTGTATAAACTTGCGGGAAAGGATTAGGAAAAGAATCGTGTAGCCTCTAATCATGGAATTACCTTTCCTCCCTACTCTCCCTTTGCACGTATTCTTCACCCCCCCCCCCCCAACCATTTTGCTTTATATCTCCATCCCCGCAACAAATTTTTCATGACTCACTGTAATCTCAATCTCCTAACCCATGGATCTGCTTTCACCTCTTCTATTCACACTGTTATTGCTTTCATCAGGTAATTCATAATTTCTCCCTCTTATTTACATGATACATGGCTACATTTAGGTGTTCTTTCGGATTTCAATAGTGCTTTTCGGCAGGGATACAACTCTATGAATGTGCAAGAACCTTCACCATGATAAACAACTGCAAGGAAACTATCTGGCCTGGGATTATCCCCGGTGAAAGCTTTAATGGCGGAGGTATTGAATTGAAACCACACCAATCTGTTGTCTTCAACGCCCCGGTTAGCTGGAGTGGTCGCATATGGGGTCGAACCGGTTGCAAGTTCGACAGCAATGGAATGGGTCCATGCCAGACAGGGGACTGTGGCGAAACCCTTAAGTGCGGATCTGCCGGCAAAACCCCGGCATCACTCGCTGAGTTTACGCTCGCTGCTCTTGATTTTTACGATGTCAGTCTCGTTGATGGATTTAATGTGCCCATATCTGTCACACCGTTAAAAGGTAAGGGAAATTGCTCCATTGCTGGATGCAACTCCGACCTGAGGCAAAATTGCCCTTCCGAGCTCGCTGTCAAGGCCAACGGGAAGGTTATCGCTTGCCGAAGCGCATGCGATGTGTTCAACACAGATGAGTATTGTTGCAGAGGAACCCATGGAAACCCTTCCACTTGTCAACCTACGTATTATTCCAAGACGTTCAAGTCTGCATGCCCTACATCTTATAGTTATGCATATGATGATCCCACCAGTATTTGCACCTGTTCTGAGCAGATTATGTCATCACCTTCTGCTCAACTCGGTTTGTATTTTTTCCCGGAATTTATATCGAAACTTACCTATAATTTGGAGAATGAAGTCAATGAAATCATTATTCCGTTCAACAACCCTTTTTCAAAGTTATTTTCATGTTTATATGTTCAGTGTTCATATATATTGACATAAACTTACGTGGTTGAATATTGTAGTGTGTAATCTCCTTCTGATTGATCAATTGTGAATTCAAGGCTTTGTTGTTGATGATTTCAGGAATCAAGCAGTATGCAGTTACCATGATCACAAGCTGGTTTGCAAGAACAAAGCAAATGGTTTAAACCCATTGGTAGGAAGATGGTGGGCAGCTTTACTTCTACTTCTCTTCATCCCTAATCTGTGGAGCATTCTATAAGGGGAACGAAGATCAATCTATGTTTTAGATGGGACATTGTGTTTTTTTTCCTTATCTAACGAGGCAAAGGATGTATGATTGTATCCTGATATTTTGCCATTTTAATATTCGAAAAATGGTTGTAATTGTAACTATAACTCTTTAATCCTCTTCCACTTAACCGCAATTGTTAATTTTGGCATATATAATTATTAGTTTTACAATATAATCGATTGTAGTCAAACTAAAGATTAATTAATCTTAAAAATATAATTCATTTTTTTGAATTAATCACTGATATTTGATTGATTGATCGACTAATTTAGATCAGTACTGCAGAGGCGAGGGCGCCCTCCCAACCAAGTTTGTCTATTCGCAAACGCCAGGATTCAAACGCCTGACCTTGCTTAAGGACCTAGTACCTCATCTGGTTGTTGGTAAATATATGTCATTTTTAATTAAACATCAAAATTAAACTCAGCTATGTTTATCAAAATAGTATCCTTGCACTACATATAAATATCGTTGAAAAATAAAAGTTCAAAAACAGATTATTTGAACTTTATCAAAAAACCACAAGCAATACACATACGATACAAAAGGTTAACACAAACACAAGTTAAACGATAACGCGTGTAGGCATAGTTTTCAGAATCAGACCGGTTAGCGAACCGGTCATGTTTTTGGTTAACTGGTTCAATCGGTTGAATCGGTCCGATTGATCAAAAGAACCGGACGACATCATAATTATTTAAAAAATTAAATAAAAGTATCAAAAATATTTAATAAAAAATAATTTTTTATATAATAATTTATATTCAAAGCAAGACATAACATATATAAGTTAAAAACAATAAAATCAAGTGAAACAAAATGATTCAAATTAACTACAACATAATATTTAAGGTAAAACATATTAAATAATAAATATAATTATATAACTATAATTAAAAAATAAATGTGGGGCTAAAAAAATCATAACAAAATGATATTGTTTGGTTTAATTTTTTTAAAAAAACAATCCCACATGATTAAGAAAAATAGAAGATCATCCCAACTAACTTCTATAAATAATAGAGGCAATTTGACATTCAAAATTATGGAGTCTTTTGGTAAGCATTGAGTAAACTATTCTTTCACTTCAATCAAGCTCTAATTTTAGGCTTCAATCGAGCTTCTAAATTTTTTTGAGTTCAAGCCTTTTCGAGGTCAAGTTTCAATATTATATTTCGAGTTCGAGTTAAACTTCATAATTTTTTGCTCGTGAGTTTGAATTGAGTTGAGCTTACTTTTAAATTTTTCAAGTTCGAGTCGAGCTCAGCAATACTCGAGTTCGACTTGGCTCGTTTAACAAACGACGTCGTTTGGTTTAATTTTTAAAAAAAAAATAAATTTGGCTATTTTTTCCGATTTTTCTCAGTTTTTTCCGGTTTTCAGCCGATCCAGTTTGAATGGTTCAACGGTTCTGGGGGTTCAACCGTTCTAGATTGAACCGGACTAGACAACGATTCTCGGTTGAACAAGTTAAACCGACCGATTGAACAAATTGAACCGACCGATTCGATCCGATTTTCAAAACAATGCGTGTAGGTATTATCTTTAGTCACAGTTCATATAAGTTAAAAGGTCATATTATTTAAATATTACTTTTTAATGTTTAGATATATTTTTAATATATATTTATTAAGTAATTAAAAATAATATTATTATTTTCAATACGTATTAGAATTGTTGTTGAATTTTATATTTTAAAATCGTTTAGTACGACTAGATTGATCATGTGATGGGTTAGAATGTGTTAAGCAAACGCAAAGCCCCAGGGAGCAATGTACACTAAGGGGCCCGCGGTTTAATTATTTAGTTCCAAGAAAGTAAATTATTTAAGGATACATGACATTCATAGTGATTTGATATTCGTTATATTGATGTGATAAATTTTAGAAAAAGTATTTTTATTTAAATATTTTAGTGATAAAATTTAATAAAAAATTATATTTTATTAAATTCATCACGTTGACATGACGAGTTAAATAAAAAATTATTATTTGAATAAATTTATTATATGATCGTGACGAGTTTCTCCTATATATAATATTTATAGTAGATCTCAAAATAATTTTTAATATAATTTAATGGGCTAAATAACTAACTCGCCTGTCCTAATGGGTTAAAAAAACCTCACTCACCCCCTTTGGAATCATCTTCAAGTGGTGGGTTCAAGAGTACAGCTGTGCTTTCATGATTGTGTGAGTGAGAGGAATAGGAAAAATGCAAATAAGACTCGTATGGTGCAACGGGTTTTGTTTACCCAATACCTCATACAGGTAAATTATTTAAGGTATTGGGACAATATGAAAATTATTTTAGAAACTATGAAATTCTTTACGGTGCTCACCGAACTTGTTACTTTGTATTGATCTAATACAAGGGGACGAGTTACATTAAATATGATTTTTTTAATAGATGAGTCCCACGTGGGTTATTAAATTATTGATTATATTGGACTCGTCAGGAGCCCTTTTTTATAATTTTCTAAATTAATTTTTTAATAAAAATATAGTCGTTTGTCAACGGTCATATACCGGCTAAAAATTTAAAAAAAATAATTAAGAAAAAATTTAATTTTTTTATTAAGATAAAATTGTTTACAAAGTAAAAAAATTATTTAGAATCTAATAAAATGTATTTATATTTCCTTAGTTCTTGTCGATGCTGATGAGTTTTCGAATGATAATATCGTGGGGCTCGTCGAGTACGTCGGGGTCGTTTGCCTTGATCGCCATCGTCATCGTCTTCATCGGCTGCATCTGGGTTGGTTGCTGAAAAATTTGAGGTGTACTTAACACACTCTCAGACGCACCTTCGAAATAAAGGGATGGTTTATGGTGTTTGACGTTATCATAGTCGTTACTGATTCGACTTGGCGACTTCGTTAACTATATACGAAGTTATTCCATTCACCCTGACCTGCATCTTCATGTACCATATATGTATGTTGGATTACATTCCATGTATGTTGGATTACATCCCATGAATGTCCAACCCAAGTTGGCTGAGTCGCATATGAGTATGATATGAGGTATGAAAACCGAAACTAGCCTGAGACGAATGGTAGTAATCTTCAGCGGCAGATGCTGAAGAAGATGAAGATGTCGATGATTTCGTATTGGACTTGGAATTGAGAAATTCGGCCTGATGTTGTTCTCATTCTTCCCTATGTTCTATTGTCGTGAGATATGGTTTTCCATTTGCTTCGTAATTTATGAGATAGGAAGAATGGTCGAAATCAAGGTCCAACGATGTAATCTTGTAACGCAGGGAGCGATAGGTGACATTGATTTCAATGCTCGATGTAGGCAGCGTACCTCATCGGTCAATCTTCCGAATATTTCCCACACATATCGATTTTATGGTGTGCATCCATTTCAACAATATCTATAGGAATCGACTGATGCGATGCAAACTGTCGCAACACTCTATCAACGGAATGTCACTCCACAATCGCAAAATGTAGTAACGGCGTCACGACTCACCATAACTC